CCATGATTGCAGAAATTTTACATTCAAGGTGATGGTGTTTCTGAATTTGTCTGTCAACATCTGAATGTCATGTTCAGTCAATGCATTCGAGAATCATTTTACAAATGTTAGTCAGAATCTAAAATTTGAAAACAAGGTTTGAAAAAACATTTCTATTGCCTACTTACAAGTACTGCAGGTTCCAACATGCTTATCTCTAGCATTCATTAAAGTGAACAAGGACCAGTCTTTCATCTTTCAATACATTTCAGAAATATATTTTATCCATAGAATTTAACATGCTAACAACCTGAACAATTTATCTCACAGAGCAGTAACAGCATTGGCAGTAATAGGAGGGCAAAGAAGGAATGTGCGAGTATTCCTTACCCTCTGGAAAAGAGAGATCCTGGAAAATGAGAAAACTTTTCAGTTTTCAGACTTTTTCAAGTCTCATTGTTAAAAGGAGGATGGCAGCCCAAGAACAAGAGATTTAGGAAAACATGGCAATGGTTTCAGAAGATGCAATGATCTATGTGTACAAAAATGAAGACTGGATCCCTCAGTATTGAGTTTTGGAGAAGTCTAGTTAAAAGAACTTCCCCCCTGTTTTCCCCTCCAGTGAATATAAGAACAGTGCAACTTGTTTATCTGTTAATGAGGGGAAAAAAGTATCTATTTTTATTTTTTCCCCTCATATATATAAGTGTATAAATATATGTATTTACACACAAACACATAAGAAAAAAAAAAGAGAGAGAAAAAAAAGTGTTTTCTTATTTATACGTCACCTTTCCATCAGCAGGAAAAAAAGAACACCCAACTCTTCTGACAACTGGGGATGAATAATCCACTTATAAGCTTCTTTCAGCTGAACAACGTCATCCTTTGCCAAGGAAAGGCCCAGTTTTCTGAATCATATACACAAAGAAATAGTAACTTGCACAAGGGTCTGTCAAAGATAGATACATGACATACAATATTTCAAGACAAACTTAAGTAACTAGTCCCAGGTAAACAAGCAATACAGAAATAAAAAAAGAACAGAAGTACTAAGCATACAGACCACAGCATGAAAGAATAAAAGGCTGTTCCAAGACCTCCTATAATGGCACTGAATCTTTGTGTTGAATTAACAAAGTGTTGAGGAAACATTAAGGCCAGAGCAGGATTCCAGGTAAGATGATTCCCAATAAACACAGAAGAGTTGAGCAGGGAGTAGCTAAAGGTGTAGCTACTGGAGCTACAGTGAGCTCAAGCCAACTGGGGACTATGTTGCCTCCTCCCTGCCTTTGGCCATTCATTCCTGCCAGCGCTTGCATGCTGCCACTACACAGCATGGTAAGTAATACCAGTCCATTGATCCCATTTAAAGCCAACCCTAATCCACCAAAAAAAAAGTTTTGTTTTTCAGCCAGATCAGTGAGATGACCAGCTCTCCCAGTGGTCACATAAGCACTGATGTCAACACAAGAAAGACAGAAGAGGCAAGACCTTTCTCATGGTAAATCAACATCTAGTTCAGCTTAAGCAAACTGAGTATCGGGATACAGGCAGCACCTGTGCTACTTGCTACGGAGCTCCAGCCTAAATAGTATCACTTTGCCTTTTTTCTATTTGCCAGTGTTTTTTTCACTAATATTTAAAAAAAATTATTTTTTTTTTTCTGTGTAAAAGAACATGCACTGAGGAAACTCATGCCATAGCTTCATGATAGATCAACAGTTGCAAAAGTCCCAGAGTCTACCTGGAGAAGAGCTGATAAAGCAATATGCACAAAAATCCTTTGTTTAAAAAAATAAAAATCGTTAGACTTCTTTTTATTGTTAAAAGGGCGATCTAGTCCTTCATTAAAGGAGAGTATGAACTCCAGTGGGTACAAACTCCTAAAAGGAAAAGCCCAGATGACAACGCCAGTTGACGTTCCTGGGACAGGCTCAACTACCTCTGTAGGTACAAGACCAGGTCTCGACACCTATGTCTTTGCCTATGAAGAGAGAAATTAAAAGGAGCAGATGCCTGTAAGGATACCAGCATATAATTTCAAACCACTTGTTTGGGAACTTACAAAGCAAAGCACATGTCTTCCTATACAAATGGCACCAGTGGTAGGTTATGTGGCCAATATTTGCCCTACAGGATCTCATCTTCTCTCAAGCAATTTAGTGAATAATTGCTTTTAAATTAGTCTCCATGTAGGAAGTGATTCATCACCTTTTAGTCTAGCTTTCTTGAAATGGTACTTCTAGCCAAGATGGCTGCCACCAAAGACTAGTTCAGTATCCTCAAATTACTTTGAGACAAGTGGATTTCTTTCCTCTTGCCCACAAAGACAATTTATCCATCCAAAACAGCTCTAACATGTTGTCATTCAGCCAGGAATGGGAGTGTCCCAGAGTAGACAAAGAATCAAGCGTTTAAATTGAGGTCAAACCAGGTGAAAAAAACAAACAATCAAAAAACCAAATCAGCTGCCACCTTATCCTTTGTAAGCATCAAGTAAACTGGACAATAGTATCATAACAAGACTATAAAATCAACTTCTTGCCTGCTCAACATTTATATAGACAAATGGTGTCTACATAAGAGTTCTTGTCAGACATACAGCAAAAGCTATGGACAATGAAAAAAAAAAATTAAAAATGACAGCACATCCCAATTATGAATATCCTTATGATTTGTTTTGAAAGTACAAAGTAAGTTAAAATCTTGGCCAAGGACATAGAAAGTGAGCCTATATATTCCACAAGTGTTAGCAGAAGTACCTTTATATGAAAGCAACTGTCTTGACCTCAAAAATATAGCATTAACTGCTTGGTTAAAATTTTCTCTTAACACACATGTCTCAGCAGATCCACTACATTAAGTGGTTTCTTATTTCTACTATGCTGGAAAAAAGTTATACTAAGGGTATCTTTCCTTTCTCTAAATCAGGAAAACTCTCTAAAAGAAGTGGTATGAGGGTTGCCAAAAGAAATTACTCACCCTATTTCCTGGTTTACCAGCAGCCAAGCAGCACACTATAGGTCACCAGTCATGCCCAGAAAGAAGAGAGAAAAAAAAAACAAGTGAAATTAAGGCTCAAAACTCCCAACCATTTGAGAGACTGTTAGCTGAAGGAAAAAATGTTTTAAAAATTCAGGACAAAAAGGAAGCATTAGGATTTTAATTTAGCTTTTGCTTTAGAAGTAGATAGAACTGGTTGTTTTTATTTATAAGACATAACTTTGCAATTCTCCTCAAATCCTACCAGGCTTTAAAAAAAAAAAGATCAGGCTGCATTAAACACACTTTGAAACTTGCTATTAACACTATAACTAGAAAAAGACTCTGACAGCCTAAGTCAAGTGCAACTAATGGTTATCTACCATACAGAGAAATGAAAAAAAAAAAAAGTGTCTAAATGGATGGTATATGAAAACTGATTTGACTTATAAATTTAAAAAAAAATCAAATTCAGATATCATCTATTAAAAAAACAGGAAATAAAAGACATACTTGGTCTTCCAGCGATCACAAACCCTTTCCCTGGGGATTACCCCCTTATTTAAAGCACACCACTTATTTTAGGAGACATAGGCTGAATATGAGAAAGCTGAGGAACAGAAGCAATAATTCTAGAAATCAGAGGGAGCTTTTGGTACAAACGCTTCAGTTCACTAACAGTTATTTATGACACAGCACACACAGGAATGGCTGGAAGATGTGATCTGAGAATCATCGGCAGATTCAACCTTGAATTCTCCTTCTTTGTTTCACAATTGCCCTGCTCTTCCTTTGTGCAGCTCACCTGTGAATGCCACCTTCTGCAGCTCCTGATACACTTCCTTGAGCGGAGGTTCCAAGAAGTAATATCTGCTTTACATGTTTGATCATAGGATAATTCAGGGACCTCAGCATACCTCTAGCCAACGTTGTGCTTATAGCAGGATCAGCTATGAAATCAGGCAAGGTCGCTCAGGGCTCTATCCATTGAGTTCTTGAAAATGTCCAGTAATGTCTCTAGCCAACCTTGTGCTATAAGGTTGCTCAGGGCTCTATCCATTGAGTTCTTGAAAATGTCCAGTAATGGAGACTGCACCACCTCTCTGGACAACCTGCTCTAATGCTTGGTTGCCCTCCATCCACACATTGTAAATACTTCCCCAAACTCTACTCCTCTCCTCTAGCAGCCTTATATATGTAAAGAAACATAATATAGCAGGCCCCTTAGATGTGACACTGCCCGGGAAAGAAGACCACGGACCATCATTTAGGTGTCCCAGCCAACAAATGGAATTTAGCAGTATAAGAATTAACAATGGTTATAACAAAGGTCAAAACAAAGGAACTTCTTTACAGTGAGGGTGATGGAGCACTGGAACAGGCTGCCCAGGGAGGGTGTGGAGTCTCCTTCTCTGGAGACATTCAAAACCCGCCTGGACGCCTTCCTGTGTGATCTCATTTAGGTTCCTGCTGGACTAGATGATCTTTCGAGGTCCCTTCCAATCCCTAACATTCTGTGATTCTGTGAAAAGCAGAATTAAAATTACTAGTGGTATGAAAGGACAATAGAAAAATCCAAAAGTAAGCACAAAGGAGCAACAGCCATTAAATCAGCGCAACACTAACAGACTTGAACAAATTTAAAAACAATCAAGAAATTGAAAACTTCCAAACAATATTGCTTATGCCAAAAGCTTCCAAAAGCATATCTTTCCCAAACTCTGCTCTGGGGAGCCAAACATTTTAGAGGTGCATCTCTTTGCAATCTCACTCACTTCTCTTTGTACTGACATATTATTTCTACAAAATGATATCTTACTTCAGTGTTGTAATTGTTCAGCGCTTTGGGCTTTAAATTTTGCCTCTACGTGGGCCAAGAGTGAGTGCCATTCTCTGCACCACAATGAAAACACACCTTACTAAACTGAAGTGCATTACAGTTAACCAGAATTTAAACTTTGACCTCAAATGGCCTTTCTATTAGTTCTTTAATTAAGTGGAAAAACCAGTGATGTTGGACACAGGTATTCAGAAGACCCATACAATGTTTCCATTTGAACAGAATGCCTATTGGTGCAAAAGCAACTTATGAGAAGAGAGAAACTCCCCTCAAAACTTCCTACAACCAAGCAACAACACAATAACATTCTCAGTTCTTCCTCTACTAACAAGAACAACAACAAAATACATTAAGAATGCCAGGATGCCACTTAACTAATAAAACTGGTACTGTCAATACATAGTCTGGACACCTAGTCTCACCATCCTCACTGAAGATGAATTCCAAAAATCAAGTTGTTTCACTTGAAACAACTACAATGAAAAAAATAAAAATCAGTAGTTTTCAATCTGTGGACTGCAGACTACTATTAAAGTGTCAGAGAAAGGTGACTCCACACGCTTGTCGTACAACCATGTATACATACGTCATGTTCAAAAGAGCTGGTATCTCAAAAGCAGTGAACACCACTGATTTAAATTCTTCAGAATTTTAAATCTCTTCCCTGTCTTTCATTCTTCATATATCGTGTTTGAAGAATAACTCCCCTCAAACCCTGTCAAAAGAATTACTGTCTATTGTCAAGGAAATAATTCTAATAAAGACGTTTGAAAACATGTATCAAACTTAAAAGAGCAGAGCCAGGATCACATCACCTTTTCACTGATATCAGAAGGAACCACATCATAGATCTCTTTTACATGCTAATAGAGGAACTCAATCAAAAATATGTCTATTATCCTTCTTTCAGTACATCTAGCAAGAATGAGGGAATCCTAAAAACAATGCTAGAAATATTAAGGAAAAAAAGGGAAAGGGATGGCAGAGAGAGGACACAAACTTTGTTAGATACACAAAACTGCATGCTACTGAACAAAATAAATATGGTTGTATTGATGGAACACTGTTTACTCAAATTCATTGTGATTCATTATCCTGCATATGTAGACAGTATGAGTAAGACTACTTCACAAAACATCATGAAGTATATTGTAATCTTGTTTGCATAATAACCCAGATAAAATCATAAATAAAAATAGTTTCCAATTGAAATTCCTTGAACATAACTCTGAACTAGAGAATATGACAACCATAGAACTGGGTCTAGAAATCTGCATTTGACAAATGCCAAAGTATAAAAATCTCATATACCTTGATTTAAAGCACATGTAGATTTTGGTACTCAGTTGGGTGGCTAATCTCACTCCTTTCCCCTGTTTTACTGGGGTACAATTACAAAATAGAGAAAACTTCTGCATGCAAGTAGCTATGCTAAAATGGGACCACAGGTTCAAATTCCATCTCTTCTCTCTTGACTTTAAAACTGAAAGAGAATTAAAGAAATTACTTTTCCCCTTCAATTAAAAGGAAAAAATAGATTAGGGTACTTGTGAGCAGAGAAGCCAAAAGATCCCAAATTCCAAATCACATTCAACCACCAAGCCAGCTAAACCCCTCTACTCTCTCCCAGCTGTATGTGAAGCAGGGGATCAGATCCCTCTAGTTCATAATTACTTTATGTTTGTGAAGTGGTTTGAAAATGAAAAATGCTCATTACAGAGCTCAAGCCTGCAGGGCAATGCTTAACAGCAAATATATTCCTGAAATACACTAGCTCAGGCACTATATTGATTACAAGCCGCAGGATATTATTCTAATGCTATCTGAGGGATCACAGTGGCAACAGTTGAAATACCATGTGCAATCCCAGCCACAGCATTGTTTCACTGTATTAGAAAAGAGCTTCGAGATGGGGAATTCCATGATGAGGTATACACAGTCCTACAGGGAGTAATGACTACAGATGCTATTTGCATCGATGTCCTTGTAGCAAGTACCAGGATGATGGATCACAACTGAGACTACAGACACAGCTAACAGTCACCCTTTTGAAGGGCATGACTCACTTCATATTCTAATATAGTTGTCTGACATAAACTTGGGACTCTTGTATTTATGATTTATTTTAATCAAATATCCTACTTGTGGAAAGAGGTGACAGCTTCTTTACATTACAGATACAAATACTATGCAAATGTAAATTTTATGTCCCACTCTTCTTCAGCTCCTATCGTACATTTTTAGACTTGGCAGGGTGACAACTGTCATAACTAAATTAGTTGAAGGTAATATTAAAAGGCACTTTCTAATTTTTTGTTAAAAAGAAGTCAGAGAAAATCTGTGTGTCATATAAAAGGTCAATGGGAAAAAGGCTGTCTTTGGGGTGTCTTTTTATGATAAAATTACCCATGTTCTTGTACAGTGAGGTTCAAAGAATTAAAAGCAGAATTTAACAAAAGATTTCTTTCCAACACAAAGCGCTTTGAGATATTGGAGGTATTTGGAGATATTATATTACTTGCTGCTGTTCTGTAATTGTAAAACAACAACTATTTTTTAACAACTATTTTTTTAAAGTGATAAATGGATAGATGGTAAATAAACCCCCATGATTATAAAGAGGTTCTTTCTCCACCATCACCCACTTTCACCCCTTCAGTCAGAGCACAGCTACAACAAACAGCTGGTTTAGCATTTGGCAAGACTGAAGGGATGGAATAGAAGGGACAGCAGGAACTTCCCAATGCAGACCTGCTCCCAGATGAATCAAAACTGTTTCCAAAAAGAACAGATCTGATTTTGGAGCTTCCTACTTACTCATCTTACTCCACCTATTCATTTCTGGACTCAGACCACAATTTTTATTCCCTTAGTTCTACCAAGCACTGTAGTATTGTTTGTTTGCTTGAACATAAAGACAAGATACCCTGAATGAAGCAGATGGACAAGTTAAAAATTACATCTCATCCCTTTTATCAAACTAACAATTTATTGCACTGAAAAGACAGTTATTCTAAAGTACTAAATCTGAGTTTCTACCAACTGCATTTGCCAAGTCAGTTTTCCCAGTCCACACAGTCTCAGTGTATCATCAACATTGCACTCAGCAAGAGGAACTCTCTGAAGCAAACTATTATTTTTTAATTCCATTTACAGCCAAGGCTGCCTCAAAAGCAGACAGAAACACTTGCCCTACTTGTTTAGGGTGAGAACATCACTGAGCTAGAACTGCAATGCAATAACACCCTCTACCGAGGCATTCTGGCAAAGACCCACAAGAAGGGTGAGGAAGAACAGCAGCATCAATTTTTTCTCTCTTTGCTTCCATCTTTATATAGCTATGCCAGGGGGGCAGGGGCAGTGGAAAGGACGTTATTTTTAAGCTAGATAAACTATAGCTGTCCAGCTAAAGATGCATAATGGAAATGTATTAAGAACTTGATAACATGGGAATTGCAGTTGGGACTGTAGCCAAAAGATTCTGTGCATCACTGTGTTTTGCTCACTGAGGCTATAGTGCATATAGTAAGGATAGTCTAAGTAATGACTAGCATAGGTAGAATGGAAATGGAAAAGACCTGATCAACAGTACCCTAAAAATATTAAGGCTACTCTTTTTTTAAACAACTAAGCTTACACCAGGCATGAAGTTGGAGTAAGTTTGACCTACATTTGGAGTTTTACAGAGCCTCACAGGCACACAGGCACGCATCCATATACTCACCTAGCCTGACAGTGGGTTTTTGACATACCTCATTTTTTGGATGACCACAAAATCAAATGAGAATAAGGGCAGTTCATCCAGCTAGAAAGTACAAAGCAATTTGTTCTGGTATTATTTTACCAGACACAGCAGCAGCTAAAGCAAACACACCAACTGTGCTTAATTTCACATGGGAAGTAGAAAATGTTATGTTCAAGAAGACTTAGAAGTAGAATATAAGTTATCACAACACAGCTATTACACTGGTATTTGCATGAGATGCCAGAACTAACAGTACAAATCAACACTGTAAGTGTAGTAAATTATTTAACAATGAAACTGTGTGGGATGAGAACAGACGTCACCACAGGTTTACATATAAATCCAAGAAGACCTACACTTCTTCCTGCCATGTTCACTGAAGCTTCTACTCCATCTTACCACAGCACGCATCTATGGTAAAGATTGACATGCTGCACCTTAGAATTCTGCATCACTTTATATCAGAAAGCAGTGAAACACTGTACAACACCTCACAACCAAGAAAAAATTGCTTAGTATTCTCCTTCAATTAAAAAAAAAAATATACCAGGGTTATATATTTCTCCATGTTATCATTATCCTCTGTAACTAAATGACTGAAATGTAAAAAAATTAAGTTTGATTAAAATTGCCATCTAAATCAGTAGTTTTACAACTGCTATAAACTGTAGTTTTACAAATCCAGACTTTCAACAATGCCTGACAGGTGACTATTAAAATGTGTACTATCACATAATTTAAAATGCTGAACAGTTAAAGAGTTCATCTTCAAATTCCTTCATTTGTATTTTGCACTACCAATTATAATTTATTTCAGGAAAGGCACCAGCTGTGCAGTTCCTTCTCCGAGAAAATCCACAAAGCAGAGCTGGCATCTGTACCAAAGGGAACAATACACCAAGAGCTTAAAGAAACTCCTTTTAGATTTTCAGATGTAAAGTAACTCCTGGGCTAACTGAAAACAGAAGTGACTCAGACACTTTATTTATTAAAACAATACTCAGCAAAAAGGAAGGGGAAAGCAGACTTCACTTCTAGCATGTGCTTTTCTTTTTTTTTTTAAACAGTAGCAATTAAAAATCAAACCACCTCCAGCTCGTACATTCCACAGTTACTTTCTTTAACATGCATTTAAGTTACAAAGAAATATCTGTAAACACTTACCTCCCTAACAGAAAGCTGTGGGGGTAGTGACACAGAAAATACAAAACTGGTGAACTGGTAGTCAGCAATATTAACCTTTTGGCACACCTGCAAGAGAAGGATTTTAATATTAAACCACAGCAATGGAACTGAGTTGATAATCTTTTAGGATATTCTTTATTCTAGTGTAATCACTGTAAATCCATGTTAATACACATTCAGATAGATGCTGAACATACAAACCAGAGTAATCCCTAACAACATATTGAAATACAAGCTTTTTAGTTTTGTTAAAAAAAAGAAGATACTAATAAACTGTATCCTTATTGCTGTGGCATTATGAAACAACCAAACTCACCATTTTAAGGTTGAAACAAATTGTATACTGAAATCTTAGCACAACAAATTACACCACAGTGACCAAAGGCTAGAACAGCTGACTCAAAATGTTTTCTTCATGGCACTGATACCATTCTATGACAATAAAAATGTTTAAGGTCCTGAGATAAGACAGGAGCAAACAGGTATCCACAGTATTAATCCATAATCACTGTTCATCATTAAAAAATTATGCTTCTCACTGGAAATAAAGTAAGAACCCCAGCATGCATCAAACATTTTGAAGTATGGTAGCAAGCGCTGATGGCTAGATGTCGCTACGGGAAGTAAGCTTAAACACAAATGGAGAAGTAGTCCAAAATGTCAATTATTTCAGTAAATGTTAACAAAGACTAACTCTGAGCTTTCAAGGTGAAATCAACATCTCAGATAATGAAATTTTCTTATAAAATAATCAGTTTTTGTGGTGCCTTAACAAATGCTGTCAGATTTTCCATTGCTACTCAAGAGAGCAACTCTGAAACAAGTCTTAAAAGTAGATTCAGTTAAAATATATATACTTTGTCAATGGAAACAAAAAAGAAACATTGTGCACTGCGGCAATAGAAACTATATACCATGCTTTCTGTTTAGTCCCATTTTTAGGTATATTCATGCTATTAAGTTGAATTATTTTTCTATTAAAACTTGCTAAAACATCCCAAACTCAAGTGTGACTTTTCTAGCTGATATTTCAGTTTGTCACATAAGCAATTTTATTGCTCAGATATGATGTTTGCAACACTCATTATGCCCAGATTCTCTCCTAACTCATATTTTCTCCATTATCTACAGTCTGTTGTATCACCAAAACATTTTCTTTCTCTGTGGCTTTCTAAATAGTAGTACACATTAAAGACAGACTCATGCTATATTAGGAACATGTAGTTAAGCTGAAGAGCACAGCATTTGATGCTGCTTCATTTTGCCTTCATACAGCAAAAATAAAGTTGCCATTTACAGTGAGGTTTTCCTTGTAAGCTAAGCAGCTAGACCTCAGGTTATCTCCTAAATTCATATAAGTACATATCTGAGTCCTTTTCTTAGGAAAATGTGCTCCTAGCACTCATCCCATTGCACCTGCACTGATATTTTTTAAAAAAAGTTATGTTATGCCAAGGCTTGGGTAAAATATGGTCCCACCAAGAAATGTTCTTTGCCAGCTGCACAGGAGGAACACAAACACTGACAAGGAGCAGTACGTAGTTGAATGGCGCCATCTACACTTCAAATATTCAAAACAGGTAAACGTTTCCATTTGTTTTCCAGTATCTTTCAATTGTTTAACGGCAGGGTGGTTTTTTAATCACCAGGTCTATACTCTAGACCCCAACATACAGGAGCTCCAATAAAAGTACACATAAAGGTTAAGTATTGGTTATTTACCTTTTTAACAAAGTCAGCCTCACAGAACTCCTGAAGAATTCCCAAACACACATTGCAAACCTTCACAGCCGAGTTTTCCATTGCGGTATTTTCATCATTAACTGAAGGAATCTGCTGGAGTGCTCCATTGTGGTTCACATCATCAGGCCCTTCTTCTGCGTGTTCAAGTCTCATTCTCTTACAAGGCGGATCAACTACGTCAAAACAAACTGTAACTTCTTTTTCTTGATTATTTTTCAGAAATTCTTTTAAATCCTTCATCAAATCCTAACACAAACAGAGGAATCATACTGTTGTTGTTTTTTCCTCTTTTCTCTAATGCTGTAACAAGCATTTACAAATGCAATTCTAAAAGGCAGTACTAACCACCAACCACTCCAGTTTAGCCTTAGTGTATGTAATTAATAACTTGGAATTTATACCAGAAGACATCTACACAATAAAAAAAGCTCTAAGCTGTATTTCTCTCAAAATGTTATCCAGAGAAATTGAATTTTGCTGAATACTTCCTTCTCATACAAGAAGAGCGAAAACATTTTACAGACCTGACCTGCAGAAATGCATTTATCTTTAGCCCCATCGCTATTCAATGAAAATACATATTTAATGCCTTTTTGTCATTTGTATTATGTCAGAATTTAATTCCTCCAACTCCATTAGCCCAGATTACTAGGAAGAGAGTTGGCTAGTATAGTATGAGAAGAAAAGGGAAGCAGATACAGGTGAGGGTGAAATTGAATAGGAGGAAGAACTTTGTATAAAGAGAGAAGCCTACAAAAATTAAAGCATGTGCTGGTGAGGAGAGAGAAGAATTACCTGCGTGTCTCTAAATTTTAGGAAGGATGACAGATAGAGGCAAGACATAGTTCAGTCAGAAAGATTTATTAAAAGGTGTTCAGTAACAAAGACAGCAGTTACTGTGTTGTTGCAGCTCAGAGGAGAATTAGGTAGAGATGCAAAAGAATAAAAAATGGCACACAGAATGAACACTCCTCAAATGATTGATAGAAAATGGGAAAGGATAAGGAAGAAAGACGTGAAAGATGAATTCTGGAGAGTCTGAACTTGAACAACGGTGAAACAATCAAGACAGACACCAGAAGATGTAAGTATAAAGTCAAGGGATTCGACTAGGTGAATGGAGATGTTTATTTGGGACGTTTTATTTGAGACCTCTCTATACACAATGAGACAGGTCTCAAGAGAACCAATGTGGAGGAGGAGCAAACAGCCAAAACCAAGTAGAGGAGTATCTAATACAAGAACAAAGGCAAGAATGATTGTGCACAGCTAGGAAAAAATTGAAGAATGCTGAATTTGGGCACTAAGGTCAGTTAAAAAGGGTGCCTAATAACTCTGTGCTTTATTGAAAAAGGAAGATTTTTTCCTTAACCTGTGCTCCACAATTCTTCAGTTACATCCCCCTGCCAATTCTACTGAAAGAATAAGTATGAGGCAAAAAAGTCTGGAGCATAGATGGTTCCTCCTCTGCACTAGCTGCACTGCTCACCCTTCTCCTACTTATTATATCAAAGAAAAAAGGACAGAGGGAACAGTCATGGCTGCTCTGCTTCAAAAGTGATAGGGCCAGGTTGTGCAGAAGCTAACATGCCGTTTTCTGGTGTTTTCAGGGAATACATAGCAACTTTAACAGTCAAACTTAACATCTAACTCACAACAATTGTTATATTCTACCACTCTTGTAATTTTTCAAAATTGCACAGTGTAGCAGCAGGTCATTTTTCATAACTCATTTTGCAAAGCGTTTTCCTCTCAGGCAAAGAGCCCAAGAATACAACATCCTTCTCCTCCAAGGTAGCACAAAGAACACTGCATTCATATATTCACACATTCTAATTATGAATACAAAGAACAAACCTTGTATGGACGTCTATAAAGTGTCTGTGATCCCACACAGCAGAACCTCAAAATACATCGTGGGCAAGTGCCAGTGTTCAGTAACAGCTGAACAACTGGTCTGTCCTTTTCTGTTAGTGAACACATCCTGGATGATTCTAAAATTAAACAAAGAAAAAAGCTTAGAATAAACACAATTCAGCAACTCAACAGTAAAAGGACTCACTTAACTGCACCATATTTAGAATCACTGGAATATTTTGTCCTCTACATATAGTTAGGATATATGTTTGTCCTAAATCAAAGGCACAACAGAATCGGAAGACCAACCCAAAAAGACCACTGACTCCAGGAAAAGCTTCTGTACTTCCTAGAAAAATCTGACGTCAAGAGTTCTGACAAAGGTATGCTGAGCTTTTGCCCAGAGTTTTATCTTTGACAAAAATGCATTACATGACATGTTACACTTTACTGAATGGAGAAGGCAGGTAGAGCCAAGACATACTGAGACAAACGTAAAATGGAAATTTCTTCTAAAATTGTAGCAACTGAAGAATCAATCTGGTAAAATCACAGGGGGGAAAAAAGAACAAAACAAACCAAAAACAGATGCCAACCCCTTTTGTCATACAAAGCCCTAAAGGCAAAGGAAGTATTTTCTATCCATTAGCTCCTTCAATTTTTTCAGAGTTCTTATTTCTCTGCCGTTTTGTGAGAGATCTCATAATACTTTTTTTCCCTAAATGATTATGGCCAATTTGTTTTCCTGTCATTCCCTCTGCCCAGAACTTTAGAACAGACTAATTTCTTTGGCAGAAATTTAATAATGGGATAGAAATCTCGGGATTTATTTTAATTTATTTTTTTTTAATAGAGAAAAAGAAAGATTCCCAGTGAGGTGCTCACCTTTACTGGCTATCTAGGAAACTTGAGGATTGACGCAAGAATAACCACAGTTGTTCAGACCAAAAGTTCAATCAGTCCACTGTCACCCAGAGCCGGGACAAGCAGATGCCACAGGGTGCGCAGGGCACCCACCTCCACCTCCAGCCTCCGACTCTCCCTCCCCACTGAGAAGGGGAATCCAGCAGAGCCCCCTCCCCGCCC